ATATTCATTAACAGCAGTTGCTCAGCTGGCCCCCCACATTGTGCACCAGGACAGCACCATACAGCCATCCCTCACTCCAGAGAAGCAGATGGCCACTGCTGTCATAAAGCTGGCCACCCCCAGCAGTTACCGCTATGTCACCTGCCAATTCAGCATGGGCAAGACCGCATCTGGAGAGGCCATCTAGGAGTAGCTTGTCATCCAGGACATCCAGACCGACCACTTCATCTGCCTTGTCAATCTGCAGGAGATACTTGCTGGCTTCTGTCTGCTGCATGGACTTCTCCAACTGTATGGGGGCTGTGGACGGCACCCACATTCCCATTCTCTGCCTGGCCCAGGCATTCAACAATTGCAAAGGCTACTTTTCTGTCAACCACCATGGCCATTTCACCCACATCTTTAACAGTTAGATGGGTAATACCCATGTCTTCCACAACTCCCCATTCCCCAAGTTGACAGAGAGCAGCCGATATGTTCCTGGGACCCCATAGTTCATTAATGGTGACATCATCACCCCTCCACACACACACTCATCATTGGGGACCTTATTTACCCCTCCTGCCCTGGCTCATGAAGCCCTATGGGAAGCAGTTGGACCACCAGAAGGAGCACTTCAACTATTGCCTGAGTAGGTGATGCATTTTGGTGAAGCATGCCTTCAGCTGCCTCAGTGCACACTGGTGAGCTCTCAGAATGTGCCTCAAGGTAGATGAGGAGAACCTGCCACAACTCATGGTTGCTGTATGTGTCTTCCACAAGACCAGGGGGAGGACTTCCGCAAAGACTGAGCAGAGAATACATGGTGGGTACATGTAACACAGATACGATGGAGAGGGTGAGTCCCCTCTGATGTTGGGGGCACTGGCCATGCCCAATGGCAGGCAGTCTGGATGTGCAAAGCCCTTGCTGAAAAACAACCTCACCCTTGAGAACCAGGAGCTCTCCCCAGATGAACAGGACTGGAGGGGTTTGAGTGCTTGTGCCCTGGAACCAGGCCATGGATCTCCTTTCCTGGGCTCCTCTGGCCGTACGTTCTGGGAAGTATTGTCCACAACCCAGGTTGCCTGAACACTGTTCCCCTTCCCTTCTCCCCACCCCTAACTCCCATCTGGTGCACACACCAGGATGCAGGGAAATGAGACATGAGGAACAGACGTGGCTCCATTTAAAATGTTGCACCTATCAAACTCTTCTTGTTTTTAATAAAGAAAAGCTGTTGAACATTTCCTTTGTCTCAGCTTGGTCACTCTTCACATTGAGACACATAAGCAAACCTTTGAAGGGGACAGAAGAGGTTTGTGGAAGAGATGAAATAACCTGGAAGGGACAATTAGAATGGGGAGGAGGGGAGGGGTTTGGAGTCAGGGAAAATATCACAGGGGCCAAGCTCAACAAACAAAACCTTGGAAGGGATGCATGGGGGCTTTAGACCTAGCACTCATTACCAGACTCAGGAGTGAAGACCAGGGATTTCTCTGTGTATGAGCCAGACGGGTGGGTGATCTTGGACATGCTGTTCATCTGAGAGACCTGTGTGTGAGCACTACTTAGGTCCTGACATTTCCCTGGTAAGAACTGGCTAGGGCAACAAAGCTCTTACACTGCCCCCACCCCCATCCTTCCCTTACAGAAGAGGCATTTCAAGGCTGTCTGTCTGCAGGAGCAGGATTTCACTTATGACATTTCCCTAGTGAAAGCTGGCCAGGCTTGGAGGGATGAGATTTACCACTATTCTCAGGGAAATGCCAGCCAATATGCCATGCTCCTGGTGCAGGACATGATCTCCCAGGAGGTGCTTGACTGCTGGAGTGGGGGCAGGGTGGGGAGTCATCTGCTGGGGAAGTCTGAGTTGCCATTCAATATGAAAACCCATCTCACATGCTATCTGCAACTCTTCTATGCCATGCTGACCCCCTCAGATGAGTTTACAATTGCCACCACTACTGACACACAGAACACATGACCTGATCTCGGGAGAGGTTCCCCAGACCCCAGCTTTCTAAGAAAAGTCCTGCCATGCACCACCCTTGGCTTCCCAGAACCCTTCTTCTACTTTGAATACCCTGGGAGGGAATGGAAGAGGAGGTGGTTGCTTTGCTTTCAGGGGTTGGGGCAAGGGGGAGGGCAGCCTGAAACTGTGACGGGACCATGACTGCAGGGTGGGGAGGTTTCCCTTTAGGGGTCAGTATATTGACTGCCTGCACCGTGCAAATAGGAATGTTACCCATGGATTTTCCCCAAGGTTCAGATGAGAAAGGAGGGAAAAGTGCTGAAGTGCCACTTGTAAGCCTCTCCAGGTGCACAATTTGGGAGACACCCTAGCCACGGGACATGAGTGGCTGAGATAACGCTTCCCATACAGGACTCCTGCCATCACATCAGTGCCTTTCTTGGAATGGGAGGGAGGGAGGGAATGGCATTGTTCATCAAGGGGAAATTGTTCTCATTACTGCTGTCCTGTAATTATAGGGCTCCTAAACACATAAAAATGCCCATAGAGTTTCTCATAGATAGCTGCTTGTTATCTCCTGTCCCAGACTTCAGTGTCCTCTATGCCACCCAGGTCTGTGACACTGCCAACCGTGGCAAGGCACCAAGTGCCCATTTTTGTACCTTTCTTTAAAAAAAAAAATTTTACATTGTATCTGCAGAGCTCAAACTCTTTTAGTAACTTTCTGTAAGGGGGGGTGGGGGGAGGCTATTTCAGCACCACTGCTCTGGCCAACTGGAATGAGGCTCAGGTTTTCCCAGTAGATGAACATGGCCCTGAGAATTAGGACAGGGAAGTGTGATTTATGTTCCCACAGAAAGGGAGATGTGCTGCTTACTGACCAAGGTTAGGGGTCAGCGGGGAGAGAAGGGGGCTGGCACCTCAGCTGCAGTCCTGGCAGTGATGGGGGGGAGGGGGAAAGAGGGTGGGACTGGTTTGTCAAGTATTGAAAGAAACCTCTAGAGAACTTAGTGGCTTGGAGCTCTGCACTGTGAGAAGGTCAGGGCAGGGCAATTCACCCTCCCCCCCAAACGCATCCATGCATATATT